GTTGTGTCATAGCAGCACCCACATTTATTCTCTGCAGTAGTGACAAAGTACCCTATATTCAGCTTTACATTTCAAAGAAATCTTAAAAACAACTAACTCCTCTTTCATCACTAAATTCACATCAAAATTTGTCACTGTACAGATGAAAGTTGTATATAGTTGCATTGGCCAATATTTATCATGTGCCCTTTTTAAGTTTCACATACATTTTTTGAATATATGTATGTTTATATCTGTTTTCATGAAATAAAGAAATTGATGTGTTTCTCTGTCTAAATAAAAGTACATTTTTATACAAACATGAAAACAACAAGAGACTGGATGAGTTGGACTCATCCTCATGCCATGTACTGAGTGCTTGATAAATATACCATCCCTATTGTTATACTACTTATTTTTGTTTTTGAGTGGGTCTCACCCTGCTCATACATTCATCCCACAAGTAAGGGCCAAGTGCCCTATGCATGACACTGGGCTAGACTGGGAAGATCCAGAAAAGAACAATGTCCCTGACCTCAAAAACTGAAGGCTCTAGAAGAGGAGACAGAGGAGCAAGCAGTGGCCATCTAGGGTTGTGTGCCCAGCAGGTTGTGGAAACTCTGAGAACAGTTTTACCAGCTCTAAGTGTTTATTTCGGGGTGACCACTGGTGGGGGTGCAGATAAACGAGAGGAGCTGTTAGAGAGGGCTTCCTGGAACGTTCAGGTTTTGTCTGGAGGACAAAGTGGAACTGGCCAGGCAGAGATGATCCACCTGGTTCTCTGCCATATAACTGGGGATATGCTTATTCCATATCTGCCACTGAGGCAGTCACAGTGGGGATAAACTTTAAAAAACGCATGCCTGCCTTAAAGAGGGCATCAAATGCATTAAGAATGAAGAAACACATCCTGTTTTGCTCAAAGGATACCAAACTCCCATCACTGAAAAGTGCCACCATTTCTTCCCTAAAACCAGAAAATATTCATACGGGGCCCATGGGGCATGCACCCTGTGTGAGGTGCCAGGCAGGGAGGTGTGATGTGGCCACTGCTTGCTATCCCCCTGGGCCTGGCTCTCACCATCTAGAATCTAATTAGGATGGCATTTCCATCTACTTACAATTTGCTAACCAAACAGCCCAGACAAACTCCCTCCTACCCGCCACCTACACGGACATGAGATGAGATGGGAAGTGATGGGCCTTCCTCTCGCTGCCCACGTGAACACTTGAGTTAATCTGTATCTGGGCATTATGACTCAACAAATTATTTTGTGCATTTGCTTTATTGCAGACTAGTGGTTGTTATAAAATTAGTTCTATTCCACATTATTGGTTCATAATTAGAATTACATGAACAAAACAGATACGATCTCACCAAGTCTTCTATGGCTGAGCAATTGAACTGACTGCACACATTCTTTTCCTTACCTCCCCCACTCCAGTTCCATTTTCAGGTTGTTTTCAGAGTCGTTAAAAAAAAAAAAAGACTTAGACTTATTTCAGCTGGATTTCCCTACAGCTTTTAAGTAGACTGACTATAAAATTTAGCGTCCAAACTGGGACAACTGGGAAAGTGAAAGAGAAGCTATTAATAGTTGAGTCGAGACAACAACATCAGCCAGAACTGCCCCAGGCAGCTACACAGTGTGGTTACCCTACTTTTGGGGGTGGGCCACCCTTCCCAGCAGTCATGGGTTAGTCTTGTTGGTTGGCCTTGCTGCTTTTTCTGATTGTCTTTTTTTAAATGTTAATTTGGGGCAATCATCTTTGTAGATTAAACATTTCCCCTTGCTGCATGGATAGTTACAGTGCAACTTCACAACAAATCTGAGAAATTAAGAAGACAAGAAACAAAGTGTATATTTGCATCCAGACACGTGGATGCTGGGGACTTGCTTTGACAAGACCACTTCAAAGGGTAAAGGGAAATCTGAGCTTGCCGTTATTTAAATTTTAAATGTGTGACCTGGACCACAGTATGAAAATATACTTACCTTCCCCTAAGGCATAGGGACCTTTGCACAAAGTAGCTTTATAATCTCTCTCCATTCCACAAAAATCAGACTGCCTAAATGAAAAGCTCACCTTCTGGCTTGAAAATGGAATATGCATCAGTAAGTATGAGAATGTGTTTTTCTGGGAAATAATTTTCACTTAGTAATATCTGGGTGGCATCCAGTGATGCTGACCTTGACTCTGGGTTGATTCAAGTGAAACTGGCTGTTTAGCATCTTTGTCATTAAAGTTGCCATCAGCCATCCATTTTCCACTCTTGGGAAGCCAAGGAATCGTTTTGCTTATTAAAATATGAGACTTTCTACTTTTGGTTTCTCCAGTGATCCTGAAACATGTGAACCTGAGGCAGAAAAATAAAGTACCTTTGGGTCCTTGAAGCAGCAGTGATTTGTCCAAGCACAAGGACTATATGTCAGATATGCCCTGTTTACCACCCTACCAGTCACTAAGGTCTGTGAGAAAACCAACTGTGATAATGATACCTAGTTTAGGGACATATTTATTTTACTAATTAGCACACACACACAGGTTATTTCCAGGGGGTTCCTGAATGGCTCAGTGGCAAAGAATCCTCCTGGGATACAGGAGATGTGGATTCAATCCCTTGGTTGGAAAGATCCCCTGGAGAAGGAAATGGCAACACACTCTAGTATTCTAGCCTGGAAAATCCCATGAACAGAGGAGCCTGGCACGCTGTAGTTCATGGGGTCACAAAGAGTCAGACACGACTTAGGGACGGACTAAACAACAACGAACTATAAAGTACCAGTACAACAGGAGTTATTCTCACTTCGTTGTATTTTGGATGTAGTTGAACTATTTTGGCAGTCACAGAATGAACTGTAGATCTGTATCCAAATCTGTAAATGATAAATTGTATTTTCATAAGTTCATGCTTCACTGAACATGTTTCCCTAACTGTCAGAAGCAACCTACACTTAGCAAGGTGGGCAGTAGCCTCAAGTTAAAATGTATATGGAGTCATAACGAGCTCTAGAGAATAGATGGCTGCCACAAGAAAAGAAAGGAAGGCAAAAAAAAAGAGACAGAGAAAGAAAGGAAGACAGGCAGGCAGGAAGAAGGAATTCATGATGGTTTCAAAATAACAATTTGCAATTCATCCTAAGTAACCAGGGGCAACCGCTCATATGACCATCCAAAGGAAAATCTTGTTAGAATGAGGTCATCTTTTCCCTCAAAACAAGACAATAGAAAGCAGCAGGTGAATTTGCATTGCACTATCACTTTGTGATATGTGGAAATTTGATTTCTCTGTGTGGTGTGATGGTCACAGGCACCAGTGTGGACAGGAGCAGGGCAGCACTGCAGATGGACAGTGGGAGCCCACAAACTAGTTGCCTCCTGCAAAGAATCGTTGACAAGACAAATCTTCATCAATGTACAAATGATCATCTTTATCAAGAATGTTTTCTCTCTTATCTCATAATAAACCTGTCTGTGTTTGTGTGTGTGTGTGCGTAGTGGAGGGCAGATGCTGTTGAGTGAGTGGATATTTGTGTGTGTGAGATCTCGTCTGGTGTGATGAAGGGAAAAAACACGGTGTGGGGGCCTGTTCTTTGTTTATTTTGCAGATAAATCTCATCTCTAATCCGGATGCAGAGCAACGTCTTGTGCAAAGGAAAGGAAGCCCTTCCACCACCCTGATGACACCCGTATAAATCACAGGCTTTATTCCTCTGCTGTGAGGGGCACTGCAGATTGGAGCAACGTCACAGACTCTCATTGGGTGATGCTTCATTACTTGGTGGAAAATCCCCAGAGCCAAAACATTATTTAAATGTGATATGAAAATAAACATGATTTATATGTGTGTCGTCTGCCGAGACGTTCTTGCCATTACTGCCCATGCTGTTATGCATCAGGAATAGAGCCTCGATTTATCGCCAGTTCAAGCTACACACATGCTCCATGACAGGACGCTGTCTCCATTCTCAAGTTCCAGGAAGGAGACGGTGTTTGCTGAGTGGTGGGTTTCAGATATTCAGAGGTATCATTGACTTTTATGGGCCAAGGATGTATGTGCACATGTGTGTGCATGTGAACTTGTGTTGGGCCGAGTATGTGTGTGCATGTGTGAGCACATGTGTGCTTGTGTTGGACCGAGGATGTATGTGCATGCGTGCATGTGGACTTGTGTTAGGCTGAGGATGTGTGTGCACATGTGTGCGTGTGGGCTTGTGTTGGACCCTGGACCACATTCATGTGAAGGGTGCAGGGAACAGACACTCTGTACTCAGGTGTGTCAATTTTTGACAGCTGCTAAATGGTGTTTCTGGTGAAAAAGAGAAAGAAGAAAGCATGATTTCCATTTCAGCCCAGGGCTGGGACCCACATGTTTAGCTCAAAGTCAGCAGAAGTCTCTGAAAAGCAGATTTGGATTAATAAATGTCAGCAGGTCTTCAGCCCAAATGGGATTTGATTCACAGGAAGAAGCGCAGTTGGGATGTTTCCATTACCAAAGAGCTACAGGGAAGGGCTTGTCTTTGAGGGTGAGGATGATCCCCCAGGTGCCTACGCAGAGCTTTGATGATCACCGTCTTTCCCGCTGGGCTATCATCAACACTCAGAAAATGTGGGGTCTTTGTGAGCCCTACCACATGCCATGGGTGCTGTTTCACTGCTCCAGAAGGGCAGGAGGGGTGTCCGAGCTGAGACTAGACATGCCTGACTGAGCAGGTGACAGGCTCTGTACATGGCAAGACATCCCAAGCTGACCCTCACGACAGTCCTACCTTCAAGCCCATTTTGAAGATGAGGAAACTAAGGGCCACAGAGGGAAAAGTCCCAGATCTTAGAACTCTATAGGCCTCGAGAATCCAGGTCTTCTTCCAGAGCGTCTCTTCTCAGGACAGACTCTTTTTTTTTTTTTTTTAATGCCATAAGTTTATTTACAAACGTATCTAGGATGCTGAGTTCAAGGGTTTGATCATTTTAAGAGACTGCACCTCTTAATATGTTCCTCTTCCTATCTGTCTCATGGGTTACTTTTTAAGCAGTTGGTGTCTCACTATAAAGAAAGCCGCAGCAAATCCAGACCCAAAGAACAAAGTCATCATAGCTAGTAACGTCCACTTGTTTTCCACTGAAAATGGTATATTCTTCCCTGGACCCTCCTCGTAGTGGCTCCGACGAACCACAGAGCTTATGAACCTCCGGATGCTCTGTCCCAACATGGCGCTGTTGGAAGCTCTACCAAAGATCGAGACTGAAGGCGGAAGAGATGGCGGCCGCAAAACGTGCGCTTCTTCCTCACGACTTTGTTCCCCAAACTCAGGACAGACTCTTAACTGGTAGTTTTACCAAGCTTGTCTCCAGCTGCCCATCCTCTGTTTTTCAAGATTAAGGGTTCTAAATGATATCCAAAATGGTGAGAACCTACACCAAATCATTTTTAGATTGATGTGGGGAAGCAAAGAAACTTACAAATATACTCAATTAGGATTTTATTTTCCCTTTACACTTATTTGGCTGAGTTGTAATCGTGTTTCTTTTAAATTATGTCTTTCAAACTATGTTTATAGGCTTTTATTTTAAATAAGAGAGTTGGGAGTGGGCTAAATGGGTGACGGGGGTCAAAAGTATAAACCAGTTATAAAATACAAGTCCTGGGGATGTAACATACAGTGTGGTGACTATAGTTAACAATAATGTATTGCATACTTGAAAGTTACTAAGAGTAAATCTTAAAAGTTTTCATCACAAGGCAAAAAAATTTCATAACTGTGATTGATGTTAACTAGACTTAACTGCTGATCATTTCATAATGTATACAAAGCTCAAATCGTTATGCTGCACAGCTGAAGCTAATATAATGTTATGTCAATTATACCTCAATTAAAAATAAAAAGAATGAGTATTTTTAAAATAAAATTGAAAAAGAAAAAGACATAGTAACTCTGGGGGTCTAAATAGGGAGACTTTTTTTAAGAAAAGGAAAAACTTTTACTTCTGAAATAACCTGGGATCTACATCAAAGGTGCAAAATAATAGTAACAAAAATTCTTGTAAATTCAGATTCTTCAAATGTTAATATGTTACCATGTTTCCTTTCTCTCTCCGAGTGTGTGGTGTGTGTGTGTGTGTGTGTGTGTGTGTGAACACTTTTCTGAATGGTTTGGAAATTGTAGACATGCTGCCTTTTATTCCTGAATGTATTTCCTAGATTCATTTATACAACCACAGGGCAGGTATTAAATCCAGGAAAGCAACATTGCTAACTTGCAGATTTTTTCCAAATTTCAGTACTTGTCCTACTAATATCCTTTCTAGAAAAATGTCTTCACATACTTTGGGTTTGTGTTAGACCTGTGTTCCACTTGTGGGGACCTGTGTGAGTCTGCTAAAGTTTTAGACTATTTACCTAAAAACTCAGTTTTACCACACATATACACACATATATACATATTTATATATACAATTCTGTTTTTATGGTTGTAATGAAATATCCATACTAACAAATTAAAAATCTTTATATTCTAACCAAAAAATCAAACCAAACTCTAGGTTTCTCCATGCATTTCCATTTCATGTGAGTCTCTACACATCCATTTGGACCCTCCCGGGTGCTGTGCCTTTGCCTGTTCACAAGGTTTCTGAAACTCTCAGCCATGACTTTGCCTCTGAATATAGAGTGGGTGAAACAAACGTTTGAAGGGTGTTTGTTTGTTTGGTAAAGTGTGATGAGAAAGGGCAATCTGGTCTGTAAGTGGGTTTCTGTGAAACAATTCCTGGTGAAGTTGTGACACTGGGAATGTCACTCCATACATCTGCCGAGAGCAGGTCATCTGGCTCCCAAGATCAAATGGTGTGTCCCGAGACCCAGGGACAGGCAAGTGACAGAAGGAAAAGACAACATGAACCCAGGATTTAGTGCTGCCCACGAGGAGGATTAGTGAGCCGCCTTTACGATGCTGGTGTTGACAGACAGGACTAGCCTCTATTTTACGGGCTATCCACGGAGCTGTCTCAGGGTTCTCCTGTGGGTAGCAGTCATGTTTCAGCCGACTCGATTTGTCCTGTAGTTTATCCAAATCAGTGTAATAATAAGCTAGGTTATAAGGGCGTTTACTTTTCCATGTATGCTCGAGTGAAGTCAACCTGTTATAAAACCAAGCAAATCAAGGCTTCTGTTTCTCCTGCTGGTACCCGGTGTGGGTGTGAGAGTAATCAACCTGTCCCCTCCGAGACGTATCCCTCCAGAAAGTTTGTAAAAGCTCTTTATTCCTCGTAGGGAAATGATTTTAGTCTTAGGAAGGAAACACATGGCTTTCTTCTTACAGCTTCAAACTCCGTCTTGCCAGCTGCGTTTATTTCCCTCGGCGTGGCGCTAATGAAAGGAGACTTTGATGAGCTTTGTGAACCGCCATTCCAGAAGAAGGGCTGCAGAGTGGAAGGTGCTCATTTGAGAGCATTTCTGCCTTATCTCCAACACACATCCCCAAGAAACGTCACTGGCATTGGGTGGGAAGCTCAGGGGGCCTGATTTACCTGCCAGAATGGCTTTCTATGAGTAGGAGTCTGTGGAGAAGTGATAAAGGGAAGGCAAACCAACTTTCACATTCTGAAGGCTTGTGTCTCTCCTGTTCCCTGCTGGGCCTGGTATACTTTAAAGCGAATTCCTGCTTTGGGGGTTTCAGTGTTGTTTTTTTTTTTTTAAAGGTGTTAGCAATCTGTCTTACGTTCTCCCACCCCTGCTGGGATTTATGATCCAGTTTGTATTTTACTACATGGTCTTGGCAGGCTCCCCCTCGTTGAAATTCAAACCGAAGCAACCTGATGGGGGAACAGACATAAAAATATTAATTTGGTGGATATTAAAAAAAATCACGCTGCTTATAAATCAGGGGCTGTCCACTGGTTCCTTTCATCATCTAAATGGTCCTTCTAACCAGACCACAAATCTTACTGGGGAGGAGGTGGGGGCTTAGAAGGTGGGGGTTCCCTTCCTGAGGTTTTGGAGACAGCTTCCATCCAACACTTCCTCAAACCTGGCTTTGTTTTATTAAAGGTAATAAAAAGTGAGTACTTCTGGTACAGGCAGGCTAATTAGCTGGCCTCACAGAACAGACTGAGCTTAAAAGAAAGTTGGCTTGGTCTAAAAGAAATCAGTTGTGCAAATGCCTAAATTTTGATTAAAAATAAGGTTTGGGAGACTCAGGAGGCATGTTTTGCTTCTCCAAGGCTGTGGTGGTGGAAGGTGGATGAAGCGGGAATGGGGAGACGAGGACGGGAGGAAGCTGACCTGGATGTGTGTTTCCATGACCGAGGCTGAGATGAGGATGGTGTATGTGTGTCTCCATTGACCCCTCGCATCCCAGTCCTTGGATTCTAACAGGGCGCTATATAGATAGAGCGGGGGGAGGGAGGGCAGTTACATTCTCATGGGGTAGAATTAAGAAAAGTGGCAGGGAATTTCTCTTCCATAATGAGATTTTAATGGACTCTTTCATTTCCATCTTATGGCTGATCTTTATAGTTAAAAGACTCTTGATAGATACTTTAAAATTTTATGAAAACTCCAGGAATTGGTTTTTAAAAACTGTGGCTGATTGGAAGGCTAAATACTTCTATAAGAAGGTGCTAATACCAAATGAATGTATAATACAAGTCTTAATGCTGGTGCTGAGATCTCTTCAGAATAGTTATCATGATCTCAAAATTTGTTTCAAAATTTGCAAGCATCAAGTGTCAAAACTGAAACCCTAATGAAAGTTAAATTCTCATCTATTGGTATACTTCCTTTTTAGAGTTTTTGGTTCTTTGTTGTTTTTACCATACTGTTTCATTCAAATTTCCTACATGCTAATTTTTTTGTGATATTTAAGTAAAATGCAGTATATACTATTGAGTGTAAATCTCATAGTAAATTTTTTTACACTATAAAATGAAAATAAATATATTTAAACAAAAAAAGGAAGTGCTAATAAATATAGAAAGCTGGCCCTATTACAAATATTCACATGTACAAATGGAGGTGTAGCTATGATGGGAAATTCAACAGCATTCTAGAAGTTCAAGGTTTTATTTAATGGCACAAAATCTAATAAAGCAAACAAACCAGAAATTCACCCCAGCCAGGCTCACAGCTAACGTGTGTGCTATAATGAAGTTCCAAGCACATCTGGATCTTGGGGTTAAAAAGAAAGAAAATTCAGTAGCTGGAAAGGGGGCAAGCAGTTTTCTTTAAAAATCAAAGCGAGTTCTTTGATTCAAAATACTACCATGAAAGCAGGAAGGAAAATGATTATGAATCCATTTTTTTAAGGGAAATGATTTCTAACCAACAATTGGTTCTTATTACTTCTCTGCCATCTCTATAGGCAGCATTAAAGAAGGGGCCTCATTTTTGCCTGATGATTGTAATGATTATCATCTCATCTTAAACAGAGATTTTCCTGTTGGTCACCATGCAACCTTAATACTGACAGTGCCTTGGACTTGAAAAATGGTGTTCTCCTCTCTGAGAAATGGGAGGCCAGAGAAGGCACAGTGGTTCTGAGCTTCACTCTAAAGCAATTATGAGCCCTTCACAACCCTCAGACAAGAATTGATTTTTATTTTTAGATTATTAAGCTGTGGGTATAAGGAAGTCAGGATAAGTGACCTAGCTTTGACCTTGTCGATTGAATTCTTGAATTGATTCAATATTGAAAAGAAAAACTTTTAAAGAAGCATTTCTGCCTTATAATCTCCGCAAACTTACTTCGCTTCTTTCCCACCTTCACAAAAATCATCATGTTCATAAGGATCGATGATTAAACAGGACAGTAAGTGCAGGATATTGGAATATCAGGGTTAATTGCAATGTTCTAAAGAAACCTTGAAAAAGGGAAAACCTCCAAAAGGTAGTGATACGTTAGATCTGTTTCATAAGTGCTGCTGCTGCTGCTAAGTCGCTTCAGTCATGTCCGACTCTGTGCGACCCCATAGACAGCAGCCCAGAGTCACTTCAATTGTGTCCGACTCTTTGCGACACTTTTGATAGTAGCCCACCCGGCTTCTCTGTCTGGGATTCTCCAGGCAAGAATACTGGAATGGGTTGCTATAGCCTCCTCCAGGGGATCTTCCAGACCCAGAGATTGAACCTGCATCTCTTATGTTCCTGCACTGGCAGGCAGGTTCTTTACCACTATCACCACCTGGCAACCTCTCTTTCACGCCTTCATCAAATATA